GCTGGCATTACACCTCTTGATAAGCTGTTCACAATTGGTTCGTGATGGTAACTTGACTGCAGCCAGAATTTGAAGCTTAACTCAAACGGTGAGTAGGGGGAGAGAGAGAGTATGGAGAGACTTGTTAAAGAAATTTTAACACAAGTGATGAGGAAGTTGTCCCCCAGGTGTTCCTGCACTCTCCCTGTTTGTGGGAAAATGTGCTTTATAGGTAACTACTTCCACAGGCAGTGGCCCTCCAGTGCATTTAAGAAGTGGTTTAAAAGCCTCCAAGAATCACTATTTCCTATTCTTCCCATTCTGGAGGGGCTTCCTGAAGACATCCAAAGTGATCTCTAGGAACGCCTGGAACATCGCTAGCAGGGACTGCATGTATTCTCCAGCAGGCAGCTAGTCCCGTGCTGCTTAGGAGTAGAAAATAAATCGCTCTGATACCAGAAAATTTACCTATCCTTGAGAAAAGCATAATCTTTGCTAAATTTGGACTCCTCTCCCCATCATTGCTTCTCTTGCACCCTGTGCAGCCCCCTCGTCTGTGACTGGGCTGTGGGATCGTGGGGCAGGAGGGCAGCAGGCAGCTGAGATGAGAGTTGCCTCTACGTGGAAGTGGAGACCAGGAGCAGATGTTCACAAAAGGCAAGTAAAGCCGATCAACATTTGTTAACGAACATTTTGTCAAAACCAAAAACTACAGGGACAGTGGAATTGGAGAAAGAAAAGTAAGTTCAACTTTTTCCAATGAAACTGTTTAGAAAAGAACAGAAAGTGTGGGCAATGTCAAAACAGAAGATTTTTGAGATTTCTGGCATGGAACAACATCCATTATTTTGAAATTACCTTTCTTTTAAAAAGACTGTTAATCAAAAGAAATAAAGGCCAAAATAAAACATTTAGACTTACATGTGGTCTTTGAAAAGAAACGTTAAATAGTGCTTTAGTCCCAGTTCAGGAAAATACAATTTTGAACTGTGGAAACTTCCTGCCAATCCACTTCTGATGCCCACTGCATAAAAAGGTAGCTGTTGGATGCAACGAATAGCCAGTTAAAGGAGTGGATCGATGTACATTTAACACACAAAAGTGCTTCAGCAACCTCAAAGAATCACCTTTTTTTAAAATTGAATTTATTAATGCCTTATATTACTATACAGAAGATCAGTTTGTCAGATACACAATAAGAGTCCCTATGCAGTCTTTTTTTTAAAGAAACCTTCTTGATCAAATAATGTAATCATGTTAGGTGGTGATGTCAGTAAGCACCTCCTTTGCCTATGTTTGTAATAATGTTTGCCTTCCTTTCACATTGATTGTATCCCCAATAAAACCAGTTGCGTGGCAGAATGAATTAATAAATGGTGATGTGAAAAAATATCTTAAAAAGCAATAGTGTCTGTCAGGAAAACACTTAAAATTTGTATGTTTATATGGTTTGGCTTTATGTAGAAAATGTTCAGAAGTAATGATATATTATACTGTAAACTAAAATATTAGTGCATGAATTTATTTTTCAATGGTCAAGATGCCATTAATTTAAAATCTGTGTCTCAAATAAATTTGGATACAAGTTTTCAATGTCCAGCTCTTAAATCAGATTCAGCAAGTTGATCTGAAAAGATTTCTGGGACTTGCCTTACAATTTCCTTCAAACTAGAATACGGCATCATACATTATTGTCTCAAAAATAAAAGAAACCAAGGAACTTCACTTTGTTTAGCAGAATCTAAAATTTCATCTGTCACAATTGTCAATAACCAACTCACAACACTGAAGTGGCGTCTGACACCGTCACCCCCGTGTCACTGAGCTGTCGGCGCAGCTGGCAGTGGTAACAACGGGGGCCTTCAGTACTCAGCATCGCGGCCTCCTCGCGGCAGGCAAGGATCTGCGCTACAAGAACTACGCGCCGAACTGAGCATCGCCGGCCGACACAGCTATTCGGGACATCAAATCTGTAACTGGAACTGAACAAACTGCTTCACACTGCACATACGAAAAGAAAAGGTATCATGAAAAATCCATCTACTCACATTGCTATACGTCTGACAAACTATTTCCACCACCATGTACAATGGATATTTAATCACGATGAACTTAAAATAAACACAAATATATTAAACTTGCCTCAAGAAAGCAAAATACCGATATTATTTTATGTCTATAAGCTTTATTGATACTTGGGGGTTTTGGGGGTTCTTTTTTTTTTTCTTTTTTGTTTTTTTTTTACATTTCACAATGCATTCCACAGACTTAGTTCAATACAGCTTAAACTGCAAGTGTATAAATTTTCATTTATCATTTCTTGCATAACAAGGTTTTAAGTTTCCAAACAACATTTGCAGCATTAGATATTCGGTCCACAGATTATCAGAGTTTGACAGACTGTAGAATTATTTGCTCAAAATCAACTACTGTACGTTTGTGCAACAAAGTGTATGCTGTAGTTTTCGTTTAATATATGTGGAGGTTCCTTTGTTCATTTATCTCTTGCTTTTTTTAAACAGATGCTAGTGTTCAAAGAGACATTTTAGTTTTTCAAGCTTGTGTGCTATGGAGCTAGTCCAGAAATCAGTCAATTCTCTGAAGTATGAAGCACTGTGGAGCAGCTGAAAGATCTAAGCTTTGTGAAACACACATATATATATATATATATATTGGCAATTGATAAAACAATGAAATCACAATACAGCTATACTCATACCAAAAAGGCAAGATTTTTCAAAACTTGCTAAAATGGTATATTCTTCTAAAACATCTCATTTTAGAAAATCTGCATCAATCTACACAGACCATACACAGTGCACAAACTGGGAAGTGTTATCCTCCGCTCCACCTGCACTACCTCTTCTGGAACGCAGCAGGGACTACCTCTGATGAAGCAAAATGTACAGCTTTCTCAAATCTTTTGTATTAGCCAGTGCTGCACACAGGATAAAGAAAGATGATTAGTTTTAGATCCATACATAGCAGCTTACAATACTTAAGATGATGAAACACATGGCAGTCAAAACAGTTATTTTTCCTCAAACACTGCGTTGCTAAAAAATAAAGATCTGTGAAATTGCACTGCAATGTCAAGGGGTTTGCTATTCCCTGACCCTCCCCGTGTAAATCCAAATGAGTATTTTCCCCCTTAAAAGATGAACTTCCTATCGATAAGTTGCTTCAGGCTTTTTACTCAGTTTTGCGCTTCAACCCAGGGATCTTTGCTTGGATCCTACAAGAGGAACAGGAGAGGAGAAAGAACAGCATTTGAGTAACGAACAAAAAAAAAAAAAAAAAAGGCGGTATAAACATAGTCTAAACAGCAACACGTGAAGATAATTATCACAGCAACACAAAACTATTACACTCAGAAACCAATGAAACTGCTAAATTTGTCTTCATTCACCCCTCAGTTGCAACTGCTGAGGGCCTCAGGTTTCACTAATGGTTTCAAATACACAGACTTGTATTAGAAATAATATAGGATTAACTTAACAACAGCATCAGCAAGAAAGGAGCTGATTTCATAACCATTCCGAATTTAAACAAAGGACTTTTTCCTCCCATAATGCATTTGTTATATACAGGAGTACCACACACACTAAGAACTGTAAACATTATTTAGAAAGTGAAATTAAAAAAAAACCCCCCACACACACACAAAAAAAAAAAAAAAAAAAACCAACTCACTTAGCCATCGCATCTTTGACATTCTTGTTCATAAGCCCCAAATAATGGTCAATTTGGGCCTGAAATGGAAGATGATAGATGTTAGAGACCAGCTCTTTACAAACAGTTACTTTGCAGAAGAAGGCAGAGTCACACCACCCCAAGATGTGCTTTACCCGAAAGACTGCTGACAGAAGGAAGGGGCTCAACTGTGTTCATTTCCCAGTTTGGTGCCAGAGCTCCCGCAGCTTCAGCCACAGCACACGCCAGTGTTTGCCTCCAGGAATGCATGCCACAGCAGGGAATAGCGGCTAAGTACCCACATAAATTCATCCCTGGCTTCTGAACGTCCCATCAAACCGTCTTCTCAAGGCTGCCCCGACGCGAGGGTGCACAAGGAAGGCCCTCGGTGAGGGGCAGCCAGCTCCTCTGCCTCCTCTGGGCACCGTGGAGAAGGAAAGCGGCTTAGGTGGGCTGGGCCTGTTAAACAGCTTACGCCTTCGGAGAGCAGCCTTCAGCTCGTCGAGAGGAT